GTAAGCGTTTCGTCGTTGCGGCAAACAAAAAAAAAAGATGCAAGGTGATAAGTGAGGGTTGTAAAGTAACTGGTATTCGAGGATTGTGTTTGAATAAGCCCCACAAATTGACACAACCTGGTTATAAGTAATTTTCAGTGTGCTGTCGTACCAAAAGCGGTTATAGTGAGCCCATTATGAAGATTATGATAAATATGGTGAATTTTCTTCATAAATAGCTATAAATTTTTCGTGAATATTTACAGTTCTCTTTCAGTATGTAGGAACTTATAACAGCTCCCATTTCTATTTGCTTTCTAATTCTACTAATTTATACTCCATTGTTTTGGACCTTTCTCTTCTCTGATGGTACAAACCGCATTTTCCTTTTATGTTTTCATTTGTTCTACTCCATGACAGCAGTGCATCCTTTCATTCTAATATGATCATCAAGACACTTCGCGTGACAATAAGGTAGGCAGTTACAAGATACTATAGTATTATGGGTTTCTGCGGATATTAAATACTGCAACTGTCCGATTTAGGATCTTTTCATTTGAATAAGCTTTATATACATGAAGTTTTTTTAAAAGACAAGTCTTTAGCTGTGATTAAAGTTTCTTTATAGTTCTTCCCACATGCGTAATAAAATTAACTTAAATCAGTTTATACATTTTAATTATATACACACACATACGCTCTTACTGAAAGATCAACTATGATTAAATTTAAATACAATGATGTTATGGATCAATGGTGACTAAATTTCAAACGAACATCAAAATATGATCTATGTAAAAAGGTACAAAAGTGAAACAATAAAAAAATATCAGCAATGGAGGAGAAATGATCATTAGTGAAAAGTTAAAAGAAAAATTAAGCAAAGAAAAAGAAAAGAAATTAAAAATGAAAGAAGGAAAATATAAAAATGAAAAAGAGAAAAAATGCCTTTCGTGCAAATAGCATAAAATTACAGAACTATAGATGCAAAGAACAACAAAAATAATGCAGAATCTTAAAGAAATTAACACTAAGTTTATTTTATCAAGGGAATAGAAATTAAACGTACCGCAGTTAAAATCTAACATCTCTTTCCCATTGCAGATCAGCGATCATGCTGTTAGAATATCTATGAAAAAGTAATGGGCATAAAAAAAAAGTTCAAGTTATCCAGAATTAAAGAAGCTAAAATTAATGAGGCATCTTTCGTTGACTCTCAAGTCAAGGGAAGTAGCAGATTCTGAATTTGAATCTACACATGATACACGGATATCCTTTGTAATGTGGTTATGGAGCATTATAAATAGCAATCAAAAAGTATATCAGCATAAAAGAATTAAACACACTGTTTTGTAAAGCACATAATTCTGTATCGAATAACGTAAAACGCATTGCCAAAACGTTTTATCTTTCGTGCAAAATTTTCACTTAAAAAACGCCAGGACTTATTTATTGGCCAACCAATTTAAAGTCCAGTGTGAATTTTAAGAGTCTTTCTTCCCTATCCAATGATAAAATACATCACATCGACGCTGTTCTTTAAAAGGGAAGGAATTAAAACAGGTATATAAATAAAAAATAAAACTGAAGAACTGTTTAATGACATTAGCATCGCAAGCTGTCAGTAGCGTGAAAAAATAATAATAATAAAAAAAATCTGAAAGCCTTCAGATTATATATTACGCCCAAAGCAGGACTTTTTTCAATTACATACATATACGTTTCAAAAACATTTGCGCTAATGTCCCTTTCGGCTAAAAGTATTTAAAAACAACATACCTTTAGAAATTGCAATAGACAGTTTCGCGGAGATATTTTTTTCCCGTACAGTGTTGCCACTGCTCGCTTTAAATTCGTTCAGCTTGTTAATTGAAAATTCGTTAAAGTTTTACAAAATATGAAATAGACAATGAAACAAATTCGAAATTCCAAAGTCGGTCTTCTAAATGCTCATATTTGGGTGGAAGATTGCGTTTTTCAAAATTTGATGGCTCTAAGTACCGCTGTTTTTTCACAATGGAAGAAACATACATACATTCATGCAAATTTTTATTATTTAATTTCATTAAATATAATACATGGCGATATTTGGTGGCAACAATATGAAAAGTGATACAACGATTTTAAGGATTAAACGCCAAATGCCGTTTCGAGACTAATAACCCATCTAGGCTAACGCCCTTTTGGACTTTTTTAGCCCAAAAGGAAAATACAAAAAAAAAAAAATTAATTAGTGAGCTTCTGAAAAAATTGAAGCATTGGAACGTAACATATTTCAGAAATTTCTGGGCTCCTAACTTGATTTTTCTCGACAAAAGCTGTAAGAAATTGGATTAAAGAGCTTTCCATCAGGATGTACACTGCGAAAAAAAAAAAAAAGGTACAGATCTATATCTTCCGATCTACCAAGCCGATTGAGGAAATTCAGATTGCATTTTTCATGCCTCAAAAGCCCGACTTAGGATATATGTCCGATTTATATATAGCATTTTTCTAACATAGGTATTTTAACACAAAATCGGACTTTTTCTGAAATGACATGGCAGTTTTTTTTTTCCATATTTCTATTCTACGACTCTGATTATGCCTAAGTAATAAATTTTGTAAAATGTGATGCAACATTTATGGAGAAATTCAAAAATTTATCTTGGCTCATTATTTTTTCAGTTTGCACCAAGAGTAATTCACTTGGCGAACTTCTTAATATATGGCAACCTATTTTCCTTCCCCTTTTTACATTGTGCATCAGCGGAAAAAAAAGACACATCGTTCCTAATTTCAAATAATTTTAACAACGTACCTAAACCACATTTGATGTTATTATCGCAAATATCTATACCAAATTTCAAAACGTGCCAATATATAAATTCACGTATATCTTCGGAAATTTTCAATAAAAACTCTAATTTTTTGCAGATATCCCCAAAAATAAATCTATTTTAAGATGATGGTAAAACTTTTATAGGTTATTTCAAAATTTGTTTCAAAAAACTTATAAAAATTATTTTAAAATACAAATTTTAAAAATAACTTCATAAAAAATGGGTGAATTTTATTTGGAATGCACCTAAATTTCGAAATGTGAAAGGAAGAATCAAACAAGCTTAATTTAAAAAAAGAGAGATTAATAAATACAAATTCAATTAACATTGATGAGCTAGAATTTTGGCAGCTAATTTAAAAACTACTCGCGCGATTTTTACAAAAAACTTGACAGTTTGGCATAATTTGAGTCGTAGAATCGAAATATAGAAAAACATTGGGATGTCATTTCAGAAAAAGTCCGATTTTGTGTCAAAATACCTATATTAGGGCAAAGCTATATAAATTTAATACTAAGTCGCGCTTTCGAGACATGAAAAACTCAAGCTGAATTTCGTCAATCGGCCCAGTAAAACGGGAGATATAGAACTGTCTCTCTTTTTTTTCTTTTTTTTTTTTCCCCCGCAGTGTACCTATAGTGAAAACACAGGAAAATGCTAATCAACTACTTTTTTAATGTAAAAAGGATTCAAACCAAAAATCTTTCAGTTACTAACTGGACGTGCACTTCCACATTCTTCTACATTTAAAAGAGACTGAAGAGAGGCACGAGATCCATTCGTGCAAATCAGAGTGCTGACGAGGCTCATCACATGTTAGTTCAGGCGCCACTGTAGAGAGTTTCTGTATAATACATATAAAATCAGAGCGCGAAAACATGCTGAGCCCTTCGCTGCAGATCTTCCATTGCTAGTAGAATGTGCTAAGCATTTACACCACAACAGTAAGCACGGAGAGACTGCGACAGTTCTCCACGGTTTCAACAAAGAAAAGTGCGTTGGAAAGGGAGATGATAAATTTCATTTCTTTCTGCTCATATTAAAAACGTGGCAAAATGGATCCTCAGTCTCTCGTTACTGATAGTTTTTCATTGAGGTGCAGATACAAAAGGTGAATACGGGAAAACGATTAAGCCTAGGAACTGTTATGCATCGTAAATAAGTAACATTTCAAAATAAGTGGCATTTATTGTATTTAATATGTATGCACTATATTGAAAATATTTTTTTAGCAGAAAGTCGAACGTCTTCTTTACATTTTTTGAATTTTGTCTGAAATGAAAATGAGATGTTCTGAAAATTAAATGTTTTCACAGTCCGCGTCACTTCTGTTTGCGCATAGGAAAGCGCTTTAGCAGCTCGAAATCTTCATAAATCTCAGCGAAGCTTGGTACCATCTCTTGCTTATTTTTAACTCATTTATCTCCTTTATTCATACACTTTGTACAGTCAGATTGAAAACCGTGAATTTTTGTTAGAACCTCTTTTAGCTTTCAACGGTTACAATTTGAAACCTCTAAAATATAATAGGAACAACTTACGAAAATTAACAGAGACTTATTACAGTTCGCAATGAAATAACATAAGGAGATTATGCTAATAGTACAGAGGCACAGCTGGGTACTCAGCGCAAAGCTTTGCAAAGCTATGTTGCCAGATTTAAAATCTGCCCAAGTAATCCAAATGATAAATATTCGTTTAAATTTTTTTTTTCGTTTGTTTTGTTTTTTCAAACGATGCATGGAACTGCTGCGCCAGAAACATAATTTGCAAACGATAAATGAGATAAAAATATTCCAGGAACCAAGGATGCGGAAACAAATAATATTATTTATATAGAGTTTCATTCTTAATTAAAAATGGGGATCGATAGATTCGATAAGGAAAGATAGATCGAACTCTTCTGTATTACCGTTTACTCTTTCTTCTTCCACCTTCCTAAAAAATCAGCATGGTCAAAAAGAATTTATAGCTGTAATGTCTATAATGAATTCGGTGATTCTTTACATGTGGCACTTTTTAATATTTCGTATTCATGGGATGAAAAACGAGGCCACAGCAAATTAATTAATCTATTTTCAGTACGAACGATGTAAATCATCTAAAAAAAGGGCTTTATTTTATTGCAAATGCTGGTATTCAAAGGATGTTAACCTTGATGACATATTCATTATAGTATACTATAAGCTGGTATCTTACCACAAGGTCAGTGGAGCTCACAGGAACAACGCTCTTCGTAACAGTCCGCGTAACTGTTGGCTGGCTTCCGTTAGAAGCACTGCTGTATCTGTCGTTGGTAGGCATATTTGTACTTAGTGAAATTTATTTACTTTCATCTGACAACAACATCGAACTTCATTAAGTTGTCGTATCATTCAAAATCTGCGGAAGAAAAAAGATAACAGAGTGTTATATATTTTACTCTTGAAATTAAAAATTCGATTTTTTTTTTTTTTTTACTCTTAAGAAAGACTGCTACAGTAAAATTTTCATTTTATAACAAAACATTAATAATATAAAGCCAGAAAAATGCTAACTATTTTAAATACTTTTTCTGTATTGTCAGGCGTCGATAGCGATTCCTAGTGATACAGGTTGCAAAAATGTTGCAAATATTTTTGGACACAGAGAAGTTGCAACCCATGCAAGGACTTCAATTTGAAGACAAAAAATGTTTTCACATGCAACTAATCGTAAGATAATTTTTAAAGGAAGAACATAAAAACTATTTTATAGGATTTTTATGCATGTATCTCAATGTCAGGGAAACGCTAATATGTCAAATGAATTCTCTGATGGCAATCAAACTAGGGGAGCGGATTTCTTTAATTTGGCTTAAAAAATGTAGTAACCTTCAACTGAAATCATCAGTTGTAAAATACGTAGAAATCATTTTCTTATTTTTATACTGAATTTATTATTATTTTTCCAATTTATATAAAAAACGCAATGAAAATAAAACTTGCAGCGTTTCAATCTTACACTAACATTACGATCAGTTATTTTAATATATTATATTAAACTTTAAGAATAACTTTAATTCAGAAGATAATTCATCAGTAACGGGCAAGATAAAGGTGTCAGAAAACACTTTAATTAAAGAAACAGTTCTATTGCGCTCTCATAAAGCTATTTTTCAATGGATTTTTCTAATGATAAATTTAAGATTTTATTGGCAAATCTGATACAAAGTGTAAGGCAAATACACTAAATTATTGTTAAATTTGTACGTAAAAATGCACAGCAGTAACTGTCATTCTCATATTCTATGAGGTTTAAACTATAGCTTTTAACACATTAAGCTTAGTGATATGGGAAGCAATTTAAGTTGATATCCTGCTAAGATCAATTTTTATTTTTAGTAAAAACATTAAAATCCCCATGAATTTCTTTACATGTAATTATTTTCACGTAAAAACTTCCTATGAATTCGCATTAAATACATACAAATAAGAATTAAGGAAATTACTCCAGGATTACAGAATTTCGATCTAGAACATTTAGGTTGAAAGTCTTTAAAATTTAACAAATTCTGTATAAAAAGGGTATTAATTTTAATATATTTTTGCAACGTAGGAAGTTGATTATCGCCACATAAAGTGATTCAACTCGCGCAAGACGATCAAGAAATGTCAAAGTAGATCATCAACCCAAACGAAAAACTAACTGAATTACCAAGGTGTGTGCCAAGTGAGAAACTTCCGTCAGGGAAAGCGACAGGCTATTCTTCCACAATGCTTTTTTTGACGGTGACGCTTGCCACCTTTATCACATCAGCCAGAAACAAACAGAGGCGTGTCGGCAGCAATCAATTTTGACCACTTTTTGAAACCAATAGAGATCATTATTTTTAGACCGATCATTGTTCTGCGAGATCTAGAAAGTGATATCTTTCCTTTTGGATATTCTCCATTGACGTACGATTCCGAAAATGATTGAATTCGAAACTCAACTGTCATATAAGGTAAGGAAGCCCTCTGCTTTTAAAAGCTAATCAGATTTAGCCATTATATAAAATTGTACTCTGTATCATAAAAATATGTTGCAAAAGCACATTTAATTTTATGGGTTACACAAATAGGATTTTATTCTAAGGAATTCTGAAGTTAATTAGAAATAAATTGATTATTGCAATGTCAGCCAGAGCAGAGAAAATCCTTTTTTCTGCTGCAATAGGTGGCTATCAAAATAGTAACCTCTTTCTATATACGCAAAGAACTATCTAGATTATAGAAGCTTTTAAAAATTTCTAAACTGCATGTACAAAGAAAATTCTAAAATACATAATCATCCTTAAATGTACTAACATTCATAAAAATCCCTAAATAACGTTATCATTATTGTTATTTTCATTCTCAAGAGATATTTTACAGTCTAAATCGCCAATTCAATTTGTAGAGACATAAGTATCTATGTAGTATAAAAGTTTTATCATCTGACTATATTATGTGACCTTTATAACCATTCAGTATTGCAAGACAGATAAAAATTTCAAATGTAATCAAAACTACTTTTTTTAATGCTGAAAAACAGAACGTAATGTTGCGATTGCAGCGATAAAAAAAATGCGCTTGAGAGTAATTTTGAGATTGGATTTAACCCAATGACCGTAGAAAATCGAAATTAAGCACGAGGGAAATAATTACATTACCTGAAATGATTATTAAAGAAGCTTTAATTGAAACGTTTTCGTTAACTGAGCGCTTTAATTATTTTACTCATAAATGAGCTTTAATATTTCTTATGACTTATTCATTTGTAAAATCTGTTTCTTATTACGTATAAAATGTGCTTCTAATTATTAAAATAACAGCAATTGCAAGTGCATTCTAAAAACTCAAACAGTAATGCATTATAAAAGATGTAATATGAAACCGGACTGTATTTTAATATAAAAATTCCCGATATGTTCTGAGAGGAAGAAGGGGACTGCACGTTTTGCTTCCCCACATGGTATTGAAAAAAGCGGACCACCTCCCGGGAAAAAAGCAACATGAGTTGTTAACACATACCTTGTTACACCAACCTTGTTATTACATTTTAAAATGCAATGTCAAAAGAGCACAATTAACTGCCTAAAATGCGTACCCGTGTTTTAATCCTTTTCTCTTTAAGTATCCTTTACCTGATAGCACTGAAGTATAACTTGAATACACTCTTCAAGAGAAATACATTAAGTTCATAGACTGCAAAATTTATACTGCATGAATAAGTTGTACTTGTTAAGTTAAGTGTTATATTGAAGAATTTAAAATTGCACTGGTTATATCTTCAAAGAGCAACTTATTGCATCATTCATCACTTCAGGTGATAATGACTGAAGAACCAAAAATAGAAATTAATGCATAACTAACTTTCATATAATACCTCATTTATACAACACAGTTTGGATGTAATACGATTCACTAATTCTAGCAATCCTCTTATAACTTTTACTTATATGCAAAGGTTAAGTTATTTGCATATGGCAAAGCTCCGAGGGCTATCTACCTATGAAGAGGGATACCTCCGTGTAGGAATTTCACGTTATACATGGGCAAAGCCACGAAAATCAAGTCCTTTCTCCTGAAATCGAACCCAAACAATGTCGAACTACCAGTATATAGTGGCCATAATTACTTTGACACTGGTAAGGCCATATATACAAAAGTTTAGAATTCTACTTGTGTAGATGCCCTTCATACCTTACTAGACTAACCAGTGAGTTATACTCGTATCTCTAGTTTGAATTAGTATGATAAAGTACTGAGAAGTTTACGATAACCTTTTTTTTTATTAAATCTTTAAATTAAACAGAAGACACCAGTTATGTGTATAAATAACCTCCGCCACCTGTCTTTAAAGTAACATAAGCTGAAATTCAGTTTCAAGTAACGTAGTCGAAGACTACACAAAATAGTTTACTTAAACTCGCTGAGATATTTTAATGGAGTGCTCTTAACATCGGCTAGCAGAATGGCTAATGCCGGAATAATCTCTGGAAGAGGTAGTGATAAGACGAAAACTGCAGCTAAGGCTGCTAAAAGCTCTTACACTAAAACATTCAAAACCTCAATTTAAATACTCAAATAATTAATTTGCATTCTTTAGCACTATGGAAAGGAGAAGTTATAGTAAAGGTTTCTATTATAATTGGTCAATAAACATAAAATACCTTATAAAGTGACTTTTGATATATAGACAAAGATTCTGGTAAATTCATGAAAGCTTGTGTTTTGATACATTAAGAGCGAGAAGACTAAATTAGACAGACAATTAAATTTTCTGCGTTTAATGATCCGTTCCAAATACTAGAGATACAATTAGAAACTTTTTTCGCATTATGTAACTAACTAACTAGACAGCTTAACTAGCATAAGATTACAAATAAAATGAAAATTATAGAAATGGTTCAAAGGATTTCAAGAGACGATATCATCCAACTTCTGGAAATCAGGAATATTGGTGGAATATTATTTTTGGAAGACAGTTGTTGCAGTTATTAAAGTTTATTTGTGCATTTATTTTGCATAGGAAATGAAACAAAATTAATACATTTTTAGATTTTACTAATTTTATTAATTCTGCTTTTGTTTTATTGCACATCTGTACGTATGTGATTAAAATCTTATAATTACTGTGCTGTAATTTTGTGTAACAGGTACAGCGAAATCAGACAAGAGCATGATGCTTTCGAAAAGGAATCCCCTTGAGCGAATTACTTTTCGTCGATAGCATCGCAGTGTCTGGAATGAACCAAATTCAAAATGGCCTTGGCTGAGGACAGTGACTGTAACATGCTGAGTCAAACGAAGCAAAAGCTTCAAAAAACTTTCGAAGGTCATATGAAATATAATATGTCTTTTATTCGTAAAAAGAAAACAATAGAAAACATATCAGATGAAGCAATTCGATATTTTAAGAGATGTGAGAATTGGCAAAAGAGTTTGAGAACGACGATGATTAATGCTGTTTGAATGCACTGGAAAAAGTTTTAAAAATTAAAACTGGCATGTTAGAGATAAGAAAAGACATCTTCTGCGAAATTAGCATAAATTCTTTAAGTATGGAGTCATAAAGGTAATATTTCAGCTCTTAAGCTTTAAGAAAATACGAACTTCCTCATTTTTACCCTCTTTTTTTTTTTTTTTTTTTTTTTTTTTTTTTTTTTTTAATGTATTTATAGTATTCATTATCTTGAGCACACTAGAGCTCCGAATATCCATGTCCACAGCTCACCCAGGCATGCAAAAATTTCTGATCATTACAGACTCCTCCTTCTCTTCGTTGGCAGATGTATGTATATCCTATTGTATATCCAATGTATATCTCTATTGCATTATATAAGACAGCATTTTATTTTTTCATTTATTACCTGTTCTTTAATATTGATATTCTTAATT